CCACATTTTGCCTGTTTTTGCTGGCAAGTGAGTTGTGCAGACTTACCACTCAAAGGTAATAGAATTTTAGCATTAATTCTCCAGCTTCCTATGCCAATAATCAGTTATAGTGGTGGCAGCAGCAGCAGTGTTTTTTGTTTGTTTGTTTTTTGTTTTTCCCATTTTGTCTTTCAATTCCCCAGATCACAGCTCTCTGGGTTCTTGAATTCATGAATCTGGTTTTAGCCTCAAAGGTCCTAACAACTCTGGTTGGTCAGCTTTATATTCTTCTGCGAGTCATTCCTTGAGACTCCCTAGAGACTCGGTCTCAAAAAAAAAAAAAAGTAGCCAGGCACGGTGGCACATGCTTGTAGTCTCAGCTACTTGGGAGGCTGAGATGGGACTCTAGGAAGACAAAAGGTATTTCTTGTTTTCTAAGTTGTTTTACATTTTTGTAATGGTAGCCTTTGGAATGTTAAGGCCAGTCCCATGTCAGATTTAGTCAACTACAATTTGGCAAGGTAAAGCTGAATTCAAGGGATGAGAGAGTCTTCTTGACTACCTTTCCTTCCTGTGCCACAATCTCAATTGAGAGTATTTGTAGGTTTCAGGAAATCTGTATTAGTCATGGTTCTTCAGAGAAAGAGAACACCGTGTGTGTGTGTGCGCACGCGTGTGTGCACGCATGCATGCATGTGCGTAAAGAGAAAGAGAGAGATTTTAAGCAATTAGTTCACATGACTGTAGAGGTTGACAAGTCCAAAATCTGCAAGATGGGCTGACAGCCTGGAGCTCCAGTAAAGAGCTGATATGGTAGTTCAAGCCCAAAGTCCATCAGGCTGGGAACCTAGAGAAGAGCCAATGTTGCAGTTCAAAGGCCATCTGTTGGCAGAATTCCTTCTTACCTGGGATAGGTCAGTCTTTTGTTCTATTCAAGTCTTCAACTGATTGATGAGGTCCACCCACATGATGGAGGGCAATGCTTTATTCGAAATCCACTAATTTAAATGTTAATTTCATCCAAAAGCACCCCTCACAGAAACATCTAGAGTTATGTTTCACCAAATATCTGGGCATTGTGGCCCAGCCAAATTGACATATAAAATCCATCATCACATCCTCTAGAAGAAGCCCAGTCTCCTAAGAAATGTATAGGATGGAGGAAAAGAGAAAAATAAAGTCTCAGTTGTTAGCTTGCAATGAGTGGATACAATAGAGGTTCCCAAATTTCTTCCTTACCACTCCTTAGGAACTGCTTGTTAACTGGGAAGTTTAGACAAATAGGTAGGCCTAGGACTCTAAGTATTTTACAGGGTTCAAGATTTACAAGCTGTGCCTCTTTCTTTTCCTTTTTTTTCAAGACGGAGTCTTGCTCTGTCACCCAGGCTGGACTGCAGTGGCTCAGTCTTGGCTCACTGCAACCTCTGCCTCCCGGGTTCAAGCAATTCTCCTGCCTCAGCCTCCCACGTAGCTGGGATTACAGGCACCCGCCATCACACCTGGCTAATATTTGTATTTTTAGTAGAGACGAGGTTTCACCATGTTGGCCGGTCTGGTCTTGAGCTCCTGACCTCATGATCTGCCTGCCTCAGTAGTCTCCCAAAGTGCTGGGATTACAGGCGTGAGCCACTGTGCCTGGCCTGTGCCTTTTTCTTGAATTTTTCTTCTTAAGGGGTCACGGTGCATTATGGAAGTTTGTCAGAATAAAGGGATGTGGAAAGAGTAAGTAACTCAATCTGCAAGAATTATGTGCTGATTTCAACTTTATAATACTTTCAAAAAATGCAATGTTGTCCATTTATTAAAAATAGTGAAGATAATCAATAATTAGGGGCATGGAAAAGCAGTGAAAACAGCACAATACTGTATCTATAAAATGTTGATGTTTGTCTGTGCCATTGGTAAATGGTGTTGGTCGGGGGAAAGTTGAGTCTCTTATGCATTGAGACTTTGGGGTGATGTGTAGTGATTTCCATATGGCTGGGCCTAGGACCAAGCTCCTTGCCTGAGTTGAAGGTAGAAGTAGAAGTTCCTTGCCTGAGTTGAAGGTAGAAGTAGAAGTTCCTTGAAAGAAACAGAACTAATTCTGTTTGCTGATGAAGATTCATCTGTGCATGGTAAAAACACAGCCTCAAACACAAATATAGTGTCACAAAAAATGTTAATGTTAAAACATTATATGTACATTTTTCCTTTTTTTTTTTTTTTGAGATGGAGTTTCACTCTGTCACCCAGGCTGGAGTACAGTGGTGCGATCTCAGCTCACTATAACCTCTGCCTCCCAGGTTCAAACGATTCAGCTGCCTCAGCCTCCCAAGTAGCTGGGATTACAGGTGCCCGCTGCCATGCCCAGCTAATTTTTGTGTTTTTTAGTAGAGACAGGGTTTCACCATGTTGGCCAGGCTGGTCTTGAACTCCTGACCTTAACTGATCTGTCTGCCTTGGCTTCCCAAAGTACTGGGATTACAGGTATGAGCCACTGCACTCGGCCCCCACCTCTCTCTCTCTCTCTCTTTTTTTTTTCTTTAAATAGAGACAGGGTCTTGCTATATTGCCCAGGCTGGTTTCGAACTTGTGGACTCAGGCAATCTTCCTGTATTTGCCTCCCAAAGTGCTGGGATTACAGGCATGAGCCACCACGCCCAGCCAAAACATTATATATTTGAACAAAAATCATGAGAGAACACAAAGATGCTTGCTGTGGTTTGAATATGTCTCTCAAAGTTCATATGTTGGAAATTTGATGCCCCATGTGGTGGTGTTGGGAGGTGAGCCTTAAAGGGAGGTGCTTGAGTCATGGGGGCACCACTCTTATGAATAGGTTAATGCTATTATTGAGGGAGTGGGTTTGTTATTTCAGTAGTGGGTTCCTTATTAAAAGACAAGTTCTGGCCCCCTCTTGGGTGCTTTCTCTCTCTATCTCTTTGCCCTTCCACCATGGGATGATGTAGCAGGAAAGCTGTTGTCAGATGCTAGTCCCTCAATCTTGGACTTCCCATTCTCCAGAACTGTGAGGAAATAAATTTCTGTTCTTCATAAATTACTGAGTCTGCAGTATTTTGTTACAGTAGCACATAATGGACTAAGACTATACTAATGGGTATGAAGTTTCTTTTCGGGGTGATGAAAATATTCTAAAATTGATTGCAGTGGTAGCTGCACAATTCTGTGAATATACTAAAATCCATTGCATTGTATACTTTAAGTTGGTTAATTATATGATATGTAAATTGTATATCAATAAAACCATTAAAACAGAAAAAGAACAGAGATAAAAGGATTTGTTAAAATAGTGTTGTAGAATTTGGGGTAAACTTTCTTATATTTTAACTTTTGTGTAATAATAAATGATTATTTTAATTTAGAAGGGGTTCTTTGTGCCACTGAGATTTCAGCATTTCTTTTTTATTTAATGCATGCCTATTTCTCTTTTTTCTTCTTCATATGCACACTGTTGTATAATCTTTTTGTGTATATTATATAAAAAATGCAAACCCATTTTTTCCTGAATAATGTTGATATAACATTTTTAACAAGTTAATTTGAGAGGATGATGATGTATAAGTTTATGGGTTTTAGGATTTATGAATTTGTGGGTCTCAGTTTTTGATATTTCCAAACTGGCTTTTTTAGGAAGCAATAAGAACCAGACACCAAAGTAAAACATAATAAAGAGAAACAAAATATTATTTTGTATTCTTTCTATTTCACACCCAAAGAGGGATGTATTTCAGAGCCTCTTCAGTAAATAATGCCATTTCTTTCAAAATTAATATTTGAGTTCTCACAGAAGACAAGAACAGGCCTTGTAGTAAGCAGTGAAGGACACTGAATCTCATTTTTAATGTCCAGACAATACCAGGGTTGTGAATAGAAAGAAAAGAGCTGTCCATGTTGGTGGCCTACTGCCTCTTACCCCCAAATTGATTGAACATCTTTGCAGTTTTTGTTCTGGTTCCCTGTACCTGGATCTTCTCTGTGGGTCATCATCAATAAGGTGTTCTCTTTGCCCAAGACAGGCTGGTTGGGCTCACCCTGAGAGCTGCTTTGAAGAGGATGTGTGGAAATATTTTTTTCTTTTTTTGAGACGGAGTCTCACTCTATCGCCCAGGCTGGCATGCAGTGGCATAATCATACCTCACTGTAGCCTCGACTTCCTGGGCTCGAGTGATTTTTCCACCTCAGCCTTCTGAATAACTGGGAGTACAGGTGCGCACCACCACGCCCGGCTAATTTTTGTATTTATTTGTAGAGACGGGGTTTCGCCATGTCACCTGAGCTGGTCTCGAACTCCTGGACTCAAGGGTTCCGTTCACCTCGGCCTCCCAAAGTGCTGGGATTACAGGTGTGAGCCACCGCGCCCAGGCTACAATTGTTATACAAATTTTTTTTTTTTGGCGGTAATTTTTACAATTTTCAATATCAGGCATAGGAGGAGAGGAGTAAGAGGCCCAAGAGGGCTGCAGACTGGCAGGGAAGGTGAAGAATTGGAGGGTAGACCACTAACGATAACAGAGGAAATAAAGGTAGATGGTTGGCTAAGAATAATGGGAGAGGGATTGACGAAAGAAGGATGGGCTGAGGGAGGGATGTGATGGTGGAGGCCAGTGTGACCGAGGGGAGGGGAAAAGTGAAAGAAGCAGAGTGGGATAGCGTCCTGGGAAGGGAGTGAAGGAGGTCGGTGGACCGCTAAGGGTTAGACTCCTAGAGGCGGGAGAGCGGGCGCGGGGTTAAGGGGCGTGAGCAGCGCATGCGCTGGAAGCACACTGCGGCGATTCTGGAGCGGTTGTGCTTTTCTGGCTTCAGCGTTGCGGCTCAAGGCACAGTTGGTCATGTGCCTGCTGTCCATTGCCGCTAAGGCCTGCTGCTGCCATTCAGGCGTCTCTCTCTCTCTCTTTCATGCCGCTCTCTCCACCCCATCTTGGGACGGCCGGCTCTAAGAATTCCTGCTACGACACTGAATTCAACCAGGAGGTAAAGGAACGATGTAGGGGAAGAACAGAACATGGAGGGCGGCGGAGGGAACTTGGGCCAGGAAGATCCTTAATTTGTTCATTTTTCCAGTTCACGGGAGGAAAAAATGGAATCCGTTACAGGCCCCAGTTTTCCAAAAGGATGTTGAGCATTTGCTTCCCATTGTGAAAGGAATGCGGACTCCTTACCTCTAACTAGAGTCAAGGCACCTGAGCATCGGTGTTTTCCATAATGTTCCCTGTTTAAAACATTTGTGGTTCGTCATTTGTAGCAGATGTATTTAAAGGGCGAGGCCTTAGGATTATGTTCAGCCGATGGTTTATGAGAGTTTCCCTTGCCTTTGTTCAGGTTGACTGGTCTTATGTGAATCCCGGGGTACTCTAGCCCCCTCCCTTGGAGTTTAGACCCATTCCATCTAGATCTGGGATTCACTCTGATCACCTGCAACGCCTTCTTTCCCCAATTCAACTTCCCTAGTTTATCGCTTCTACCCGCAGTAGGGAAGGCTGGTAACGGCTCTCCTTGGGCACTGGGGCAGAACAGTGGCGAGAAACACGTCCACATAGCATCAGGCATGCATACTGTATACAAATAGGAGCAAGAAGGGAGAGGACTAGCGGGGTGCGCAGGGTATTTGAGAGGCTGGATGAGGAGGCGCGGCGCCGAGGGGCGGCGCTCAAGCTAACAGTATTTGAGAAGAACTGAGTTAAGGGGAGGGGCTCCAGTGGGTGGCGGGGAGAGGGAGGCACGCATGCGCAAGACTTGAATGGAGTAGGGGTTGGAGGTTTGGAAGGTCAGGAAGGGAAGGACTCGCAGGCATATTTACGAACGCAAAGTTGCTAGGAGTTGGTACCAGCAGTTGGGAGGTAGAGGTGGAGCTCATGCGTATTTGAGACAACATCTTGAAGGTTGGGGAGAACGGTAAGGAGGAAGCGGCGCGCATGCGTATTTCAGACGGAGTGCCGGGGAGGGGAGGCGCTCAGCGTTCGGGTAACTAAGGTTGCAAAATGGCGAGGGGGGAGGTAAGCTGTCTTTGCTTGGCCATCTTGGGCTAGCAGGCCCTGCAGAGAACTACCTTTTTAGCTGAGTGAAGGGATCAGTCAACCTGAGTTGGAGTTCTCCTATGCTGTGGCCAGATCCACTAGAAATTAAGCCAGAATCTTAGCCTCTCACTGGCCTATCGGTAAGTGGGTTCAAAAATGAGGAGGCGATGATGACTCTGCAAAAGGTTGCGGCAGCTGGCGGTGCGTAGGAAATGCGTAAAAAGGGAGCACTTGGAGACAGGCCACATTTGGGCAGTACGCATTCGGAGGACTCTCTCTGGCTTTCCGATCTTGGGTCTCTGTACTTGGCTCTGAATACAGTCATCCCATCAGAGTAGCAAAACACTGTGGTTGTAGTGTGAGAATCTAATGTTAATGTTGGCCGAAAGCCCTTGATTTTCTCCCCTGAGAACATAGGCGTGAGGGTTTGGATGTGTTTCCAAATGCTTGTTACTCTTTGCTGTAAACCTGGAATTTGGACCTATGGCTGCCTGGGACTCATACTGTCGTGGAGAAAGATAGAAAAGTAGTTAATGGCAGTGGTGGTATGAAGGTGACCTGGGCTTTCACCCTTTCCTTTATTTTTTCTTCTGTAGAACTTTCAGCACGGTTTTGTCAAGGGGGAAGATTAGAGTTTCTATTTTAAAGGCAGATGTACTGTCATGACTCTCTGAAGACTTGCTGTGAATCGCTAAAACTAGTAAGTTAGCACTTAGATACAGATACATAGTTAGAAAGGGCACAGGATTAAAAAGTGAAAAAAACATCTTTTTCCAATAATCCTAGCTATGATTTCATGATGGTCCTTTTCCTTCTCTGGACCTATTTCTCTCTCTCGCTCACTTATTTATTTCCTTTTAGACAGAGTCTTGCCCCGTAGCCCAGGCTGGAGTGCGGTGGCGCGATCTCAGCTCACTGTAACCTCCGCCTCCCGGGTTCAAGCGATTCTGATGCCTCAGCCTCCCAAGTATTAGCTGGGGTTACAGGTGCGCGCCACCACGCCCGGCTAATTTTTGTATTTTTAGTAGAGATGGGGTTTTGCCATGTTGGTCAGGCTGGTCTCGAACTCCCGGCCTCAAGTGATCCGCCCGCCTCAGCCTCCCAAAGTGCTGGGATTACAAGCGTAAGCCACCACGCCCGGCCACTGGGCCTATTTCTCTATCTGTAATAATGATTAAATGTCAATAGCACTTACTACGTTTGAGGTTCTGGTCTGCGTGCTTTTACATAGGCCGTAACTCATTTGGTACTCTCGACCATCTTACGAAACAGCAGTACTGTTATTAAGTTTTTACAAATGAGAAATTTGAGGGACACGAGACTAATTTGTTCAAGGCTTTACAGCCAGTTGAATGGCTGAGACAGGGTTTTTATCCAGGTGGGATGGCTCCAGAAGCCTGTGCTCTTAAGCATTATGCTTTATTCCCTAAAAAGAGGAGGCGAATTTAAAGGAACTTTCTTTTATGATTTCAAAATCTGTTTGTAACTAACCAAAGCCATTTGAGAAAGAAGACCTGTTTTCTGTTTCTGACTGTGCAGACTACAGGGTTACATACCTAGGAGACAAAAGGTAAAGAATTGTTGATTTGGTGCCTAGTGGGGTGGCTATCCTTAACTACCCTTGTCTTCTGTGCTTTTTGTTCTGCAGAGGGTCTAAAATGGCCGACTGCGGCAGGCTGGACACACCCTTCTTGTTTTGCCTGATTTTCTGTCTGCTCTAACGCTTTGAAACGTCTAACCAGTCATTTGCTGCAGTACATGTTTTTTTTTAACCCATTATTAATATTTCGCCGTGTTGATCCAAATATACAATAGTGATGGAAAGGTTATTATCTTTTTTCTTGTAATAAAAGACTGAAAATACATTTGTTTCATTTTTATTATTTGCTTAGGATACATTCGTGGAAGTGGAGTTAGTACATCAAAGGGTATGAACATTTTAAACTCTCAGTGTCTATTGCCAAACTTCTTCCCAAAAAGGTTGTATCAATTTTTACTCATACAAGCGCTGAATGTTGTTGTTTGTTAATTTTTAATGGATAAAAACCAGTATTAATTTTTCATTTGCTTATTAGTTTGGATTTTCTTCCTCCATATATATCTCAGCAGTTTTCTTTCATGTAATGATAGTTCATATCTTATGTTGATTTATGCGTTGAAGTTTTAGTTTAGTGTTTATTATTATGTTTGAGTGTGTTCTGTAAATAAAGATTACTCAGACTTTTGTAATGTTATAAATACCTACTCCATGTTATTGTTTGCCTCTTAATTTTTGTCTTTAAATTTTTGGTTAGTAGAGATTTGAAATTATTTGGCAAATTTGTCTTCTATTTTGTGATTTTTTCTTCTATTGTTTAAATTTGAATAGCTCCCTCAGTCTAGAAATTTGATAAATTTCGTAACTTTGCTTGAGGATAACTATCAAGCATGGGAGAAAAAACATCCATAATTTCACCACCCAGAGAGAACTATTGTTAATACATTTATTCACTTCATTCTGTGCATTTTTCTATGTAGTTGATAATATATGTGTACTATTTTATATTGTGTTTTGTTTTTAACATTATAACATGCGTATGTCCATGTTAAACATTCTTTGTAATTGTCAGTGTTTCATGATGTTCTGTTGTATGGAAGTATTTTATAGATTTTCAGTATTTTAAATTATGTAATGAATATCTTTTCATTTGGTTTTTATTATTCATCTATTTTGGGTTGTTATCGAAGAGACTTCTAGAATTAGTTATTTGTCCAAAGATTTGAACATTATAAAGAATTGGCATAGTTACTTTTCAAAAAATTAATGTCAGTTTTTGTACCCAGTCGTTTAGGTACTTATAAAAAAATGTTTTTGCTTTTTTTTTGCTGACTCCATATGTAAATGAATGAATGGTATCTCTTCGTTTTTTTGTTTTGTTTTGTTTTTTTTGAGACAGGCTCTCCCCTTATTGCTCAGGCTGGAGTACAGTGGCGTGATCATGGCTCACTGAAGCCTCGACTTCCAGGGCTCCAGAGATCCTCTTACCTCAGCCTCCTGAGTAGTGGGACTACAGGTGTGTGCCACTATGTCCAGCTAATTTTTTTTTTTTTTTTTTTTTTTTTTTTTGAGACGGAGTCTTGCTCTGCCGCCCAGGCTGGAGTGCAGTGGCGGGATCTCAGCTCACTGCAAGCTCCTCCTCTCCGGTTCACGCCATTCTCCTGCCTCAGCCTCCCGAGTAGCTGGGACTACAGGCGCCCGCCACCTCACCCGGCTAGTTTTTTTTGTATATTTTAGTAGAGACGGGGTTTCACCATGTTAGCCAGGATGGTCTCGATCTCCTGACCTCGTGATCCGCCCGTCTCGGCCTCCCAAAGTGCTGGGATTACAGGCTTGAGCCACCGCACCCGGCCTGTCCAGCTAATTTTTAAATTTTTTTGTAGAGATGGGATTTTGCCATGTTGCTCAGGCTTGTCTTGAACTCCTGGGCTCAAGTGAGTCTCCCATCCCGGCTTCCCAAAATGCTGGGATTACAGGGGTGAGCCACCACACCTGGCTGATGTCTTTGTTTTGTGATACAGTTCTTTTATTATTTGGTGAGGCTGGACTTTAGATCTTAATTACTAGCTCTTATTTCCTTTTGTGAATTATTCAATTTGTGCCTGAATGTTATTTGTAAGTTGCAAATGTCATTTGTTGCAGATATGCTCCCAGTAATATTTGTTGCCATTGAGTCTGAAGAAATGTTTGCAGTTCCAGATATAACTGCTGTGTGGATACATGTCTGGTTCTTGGTAGCCATTTTGAGATAACATTTGTCTGACCTCTTATCTTAGTTTTGTTTTTATTTTTAGAGTGTAGGTCTTGCCCAGGCTGGTCTTGAACTCCTGGGCTCAAGTGATCCTTCTGCCTCGGCCTACCAAAGTGCTGGGATTACAGGCATGAGCCACCTTGCCTGGCCTTGTCTGACCTTTAAACAGAAATCCATTGCTTTTTATCTAAAAGGAAAGCACTTTTGAGTACTGTGTAACAGTGGTGCTTCCTGGCTCTGGGCATGGGGAGAAGACAGGGCAACATTTTGTCCCTAATGAGAAACTAATTTAGACAAGAAACAAAACAGTGGTCTCTTCTCCCGCATCCATTCAGGGACTGGTCTTATTTTAAATATTTGAGTGGCCTGAGGGAGGATATAGGCAGGTAGTGAAATGTCCACATTTATGCATGCTGTTAAATGCTTTGGGGATGTGAAATGCATTAAGGAACTCACTAGCATGTGAGAAGGCACCAGGAGTTGTCTAATTGGCAGAAAGGAACAGTGTACAGGCAAGAGCAGTGTAATAACTTTAGGGGAAAATAATATGTTAAGCTTATTAAATAACAGCCTCATAGAGACATTGGGTCCCAAAACAGTGATCTCAGTATAACTGTCAACAACTTGCTGATGTTTTCAGCCCTATTTGCTGGTCAGAGACAAAAAAGCCATTAAAAACCTAGGTATTATTAGGCGGGGCGCGGTGGCTCAAGCCTGTAATCCCAGCACTTTGGGAGGCCGAGACGGGCGGATCACGAGGTCAGGAGATCGAGACCATCCTGGCTAACACGGTGAAACCCCGTCTCTACTAAAAAATACAAAAAACTAGCCGGGTATGGTGGCGGGTGCCTGTAGTCCCAGCTACTTGGGAGGCTGAGGCAGGAGAATGGCCTGAACCCGGGAGGCGGAGCTTGCAGTGAGCTGAGATCCGGCCATTGCACTCCAGCCTGGGCGGCAGAGCGAGACTCCGTCTCAAAAAAAAAAAAAAAAAAAAAAAACCTAGGTATTATTAAGAAAGGTATGAGACACAGAAAAATGCCATTCTATCTTTGTGTAAAACTGTTACAGTGGTAATAACTATTACAGTGGT